TGATATTGTATATATTGTTATATTCCCGACGGTTATTTGGACCTGTTCAACCATGAAGCCTTCGTGGTCTAGTGGTTATGACGCTCACCTTATCAGCAAGTGGTCGCAGGTTCGAATCTCGTCGGAGGCATTTTATTACACAATGACATTTTATAGGACTTTATTCGTTGAAGGCTACATGGTAGCCTACGATGTTCCATCATGTCCGTAATAAACACTGTATATGTACATTTGATGATATATATTATATATATCACACAAAGCATTATGCAATTTAATAATAAATATATATATAAATATATGAAACTTATGAATGACATGTTTCGACGTGTCCCGCGTCATCATCAGGTAATAACGCTTATGCTACTAACGGTATAAATACTACCGGTACGGTCAGATGTAAGACGAAACAAGCAAATATTAAGGTAAGTCATGTATATAGAGGTCAGGAATACTATGGTAATTCATGTATATAGAAATAATTAGAATGAGAGATTGATATTGTAATGAGTTGTTATTACGTGAGGATGATGTGGGACACGTCGAAACATGTCGTTCATAAGTTTCATTTACTTTATTAGATGTAATATTGCAAGCTCTGCCTAATCGCGTCACAAACGAAGGCACTGATAGAAAAAATAAATGGTTTCAAAATTCGCTCAAAATCATATTATAAGCCCTTTCCCTCTGAGAGTAGGCTAATAATAATATATTATTATTATTATTATTATTATTATTATTATTATTATTATTATTATTATTATTATTACTAGTCATATACAATATATATACAATAATATTAAAATAGGTAGTAATAAAAATAATCTAGGTAGTACTGTAGAAATTTAAAGTAGGCCTATGAAGAGTTTTTGCGATAATATTGTCGGGAAATATGCGAAATTGTGTGTTTTTATTCATTCCCTGATGATGATGATGATGATGATAATGTCGAAATATTGAATCCCGACACGATGGCGTGCATTTCGATACTTGGAGTATTGGTCAGATTGCAAATCAACCAATGAGCCTGGATGGTAAGCTTTAGGGCTAATAATGCGTCTGCGTTGAGTCTAGTTAGTAGCAATATGTACAGCCGTTTCGTGGTGCTTGCAAGGCTGGGTGGTCCAGTCAGAGAGAAAAACAATGTATTGTTACTTTACATGTAGGCTGGCCGCTTAGCTAGACGAAGACAACCACATAGGCTGGCTGGGTACGTGCAAAGAGTATTTAACAGAAGAAAGTCCACTCAGAATTAAAATGCGTTCCGCTCGAAGCTGTGGTGGATAAACTGCGTGTGTGGATTTCCGGCACGATTAAAAATCGTAACGGTACTGGGTTTGGTCTACAGGAGTTCGAACCAAGGGAGGCGCCAGCAAGGGGGGGGGGGGATTAAGTTAAGCACCTCCCCCCCCCACCATCGGCAGTCGAACAAAAAAAAATAGGCCTAGTTTTCCCAGTACTGTAGGCCTACTGCCTACGCCAAGCCAGATCTGTCTCAGCAATCGCTTCGTCTGGGTCTGTCTAATCAGTCAAGCAGAACATAACAATGGTGAATCGAGTTTAATTTAACGTCTTAATGCTTTTATGTATACATTAAAATAGTGTTACAGTTGAAATTAAGTACAATGAAATGCGTGTTTATTGAGTTGAGAGTCAGAAATATGATATAAAAATATACGATAGTATAATACAGACGCCAAGTATCGAAATGCAGCCCTCGTGTCGGGATTTAATATTTCGACATTAATTATATCATCACCAGGGAATGAATAAAAACACACAATTTCGCATTGTTAACAATTTTATATTATCAACTTGTATTTTTCAAGGCCGACAGTGCCATTAATTTAAAAAAAAAAAAAAAAATAGGAAGAAAGAAGAACAGGAAAAAAATTGGAGCGGCTGAAAATACTTACCGAAAATAAACAATAATAATCATTTTGTCATTATTTTATGAAAGTTTGTTGGCACTAATCATCAGAGGTCAAGTTGCCGGCAGCCTACATGTTTCATATATTCGACATCGAACACAATGTTTAATATATTAAACATGTAGGCTGCCGCCACCTTGACTTCTGACGATTAGTGCCAAAAATGTTCACACAAACGTGATGCAATGACAAAATGATTATTATTGTTTATTTTCGGTAATTATTATTAGCCGCTCTAAATGTCTTTCCTGTTGTTTTTCGGGTCTTCGGCCTTCGATTTGTAGACACCTATTCCATATAGAGTATCTATAAAACGAAGACCCTTGAAAATTTAACAAACAGACGCGCGCCCAAAAAAAATCGTACTTTTGATTTTGTGACAGCCTGGCGTATTATCATCAAAATAAAAGAGAAAAAATAGGTGTCTTCGTTTTGGGGTCTTTGGCCTTCGTTTTATAGACACCCTCATACGAACATCATGATTTTTATTAAAATATTGCCATTGTCCCTTTTACAGATTTGTAGCGTTTTCAGGTGCCTTGCACATTTTCAGGTGCATTGCAGCTAACTATTTAATTAGGCATTACAGCCCCGTATATTTGTTATAACTAGCCTATTACCACATTATTGAACATACGTACATTACCGGAAATTTTATTAATAAAATCGATGCAAATTTTATATTGCTTTTACGGTTTGATATATTTTCCAAGCTCAATACATTTTTCCTTCGTCATGGCGATACCATTGCTGGTCGGCAGTTGTAAAGAACAGACCGCGCCTTCAAAACTCTGCCTACAATTTGGTTCATTTTTTTCGTTGGGGATATGCAGACATGTGCTCGGTCGTGATGACGTCAGATTGCCCAAAGATCCATAGTGCGTAATATACGAGAATATAGTCGAGAATATTTTAATTAAAGAATTATACAAATAACCAATGATTTTATTTTAGAATCAAATTTAAATAAACCTAACACATTTAAAATTTATTCTCTACAGATTTCCTCTGTCGTTAAATTAGCAACGTAATTACAGAACCATCTGAAGTTTAAAGAATGAGGTGCATTTGTAATTTAAATTGACGAATTTAAGATGTCCGATCATGGAGTTTTAATTATTTTCCGATTCCGAATTAAACGTCTACTAAAAAGATCACCCGTAGACAGTTGCTTTGTTAATAGTCTGTTGTCTTATGTCATATTTTTTAACTTTGTAAATTTTTTGAGTAAATTCTTGGCAAACATATCTAAACATATCTAAAAAATTCACTGATTAAGAAAAAAATGGGTGCCAGTTTTTTTTTATTCACTTCTAGGGCCTCCATTTTGAATTTCAAAATTGCCGCTGTCGAAAATTAGTTTTTAACAAAAAAAAATTGCAATTCGATCATCGTTATTCATAATTTTATATATCATACAATAGTCATTTTATTTTATCTGATATCATATAATGGGATCAATGATGCATTGGGAAGAAAATAAGAGTACAAAAAATAACCCCCCTCTCAGAAATCTTGCTCCCCCACACATCTCCACTGGATAATCTTTTGCAAAAAAAAGTTTTTCTCAAGTACTCACAAAATTTCCACATATCACTATATTTTGCCATCTGAATCTCCCTAACTTAATCAATGAGCACTGACATTTAACCTTCGCCCCTTAATTCCCCTGCCCCGCCACCCCGTCCCGGGCCAAGCCCCCTTCCCTAACTTCTTTGAAAATTAAAAAATAGAAATAAAATAGGAAAGGTATATCCAAATTTAGGCCTAAGACTGTGAGTGCCATTTCCGGCCATCTAGTTACCATAGCCACAACATTTTGTTCATCGGTTTCCACAATGTTGGACAGGGGCAGATTTAGGGAGGGGAACGCTCCTCCTGCTTTTGCCACTGTCATCTTTTTTTGTGTGTTAACAGTGAAAATACAAAATCGCATACAAATACTAAGTGTAACAGCATGTACTGTACATCAATCATGTCATTACTAGACATATAAGCCTATCTGTATTATAATAATAATAATAATACTAATAATAATAATAATAATAATAATAATAATAATAATAATATTATAATAATAATAATAAATATAAAATGTATAGGTGTAATTACACCTATACATGTTTCTCCTGACGCAAATCCAGTTATTGTCTATTCCATCACGACAATAACAATTACTATCAACACTGTAGTACCCGCTGCTTACTTGGACTCGAATTCAACCTTGGCCATCAGGCGCAAGATCGGTGGTCTAGAGGTATGATGCCAGGCTAGTGATCTGGAGATCGTGGGTTCGAGTCCCACCCGAGAACAACTTGCGATTTTTTTCGCAGTTGTTTTCAAATGTACTGAGTATTCGGTACATTTCCACGTCAGGTAGGGCAAAAATTACACCTATACATGTTTCTCCTGACGCAAATCCAGTTATTGTCTATTCCATCACGACAATAACAATTACTATCAATAATAATAATCATAATCATAATCATCATCACCTTGTCCTCAGCAAACCAGAAACTCTCAGATCTGATCTGATCTTCCAGTTAACAATTGCTCCGTCAACAGGGGGACTCAAGATTACGACATTGTTGGCATCATACTGAATCATATCCTAACACTCCTTTAACAAAACAATGCAATGGTTATTAAGACACCGTCTCATGTAAACCCTATTAAGGTTAGCAGGGACTGAATGGGTTGAATACTACAACAGTCTGAACATCACCAGCAGTGCTTGTAGCATGCAGTACTCTGGTGCATGTTATACACTGCTCCATGGAGTCACAGTTTTAATTCACAAAAAAGTTTACCTTGTTCTGATAAATGAATTAAGAGTTGTTAGGTGCCGATGACAAAACCCGTTAAAAAATTCGACACACTGTTCCTGCAAACCTGAGATAAATGTCCATACAATTAAGCTCGCAAACAACAACAGTATATCATGGTAGTTTAAATCTTACACCTACATCTTTCAAGAAACAGATAATTCCAGTTAATCAGGCCCGTATCCAGTGTGGGGGGAGGGGTTATGGTTCAGGAGAATCCCCCATTTTCTAGCAAACCTCCCTATTTTCTGGCGAACCCCCCCCCCCCCCCCCCACCCTCTTCAAATTTCCCAAATAAATCCTCCAACCCAACTAATGCACTACAGACCCACCCAAACAAAGACCTTTTTCAAACATATCTGCTTTTATAGCATTATTTAGACCCATAAAGCACAAACACCCGGTGGGGGTTTCGCCGACCCCACCGGGGCTTCGACCGTGTACCTCACACCCAGATACTCCCTCCCCCTTGGAAGAACCTGGCTACGGGCCTGTTAATCATTATGCTACAAAAGCTCTGTTACAGCACCCCGAACCAACCAACTTAGATCGTAGCAATTACCGGTAACTTTGTACATTAAGCAGTTTGTTAAATGCCTTTTCAGTAACCAAGAGGTTGTAAACTTGGAAAAAAGACTTGGGTTAATCTCAACAGACTTGGTGCAGAATCCCCACCAAATTGAGAGTGTGAAGAGCCATGGAGCAAATCAGCAAACAACATAAATGAGAGGAGGTCCCTGGTTTGAAGATTAAGGTCATCAGCTGCCAAGGAAGATCTCCAATGATAACTCCTAAATCAAACTAACGAACAATTGAGTTTTATCACAGCAATTCACATAAACGATGCTGCTGTTTCCCATAAACTCTCCATTTGGTGGGAAAAAGTAATCACAAAGATGATCCAGTGATGCCAGGTAGATGTATCATTTACCTTTAGAAACTGAAACAGCGTTATCACCTCTCGCATGTAGCTATCTGCTCCATTTATACAATCTAAATTTAGTCAGCTGGTACATAGCAATAATTCACTTTTTGGGGTGGGGTGGGGTGGGGGGAAACATTTCCGAATTTGTATCACTGGCTGAATTGGATTGAAAGTTATAGCCTTTTAGGATTTTTGAGCATTTGAGTACGGTAGTCATCAATAATAAATGACAGTTTTCCTCCAATTATATATCCTTTATATAATTTGTGTATACAGTACATGAATTTATCTCCATTTATATATATTGTGTATACATATAATACATATATGAATATGCAAGTGATAAACAGATGAGGGTGATTCATAATGATCTGTCTTACTTGCGGTACACCAAGATCCAGTGGCGGATCCACTTGTGTATACAGTACATGAATTTATCTCCCTTTATATATATTATGTATACATATAATACATATATGAATATGCAAGTGATAAACAGATGAGGGTGATTCATAATGATCTGTCTTACTTGCGGTACACCAAGATCCAGTGGCGGATCCAGGAATTTGAAATAGAGGGGGCCTGGAGAGGGACATTCACAGGTGGAGGGTCTATATTTCCTCAGCCCCACCATGATTGGGCTGAGGTAAGAAAATTTTTGATTATGGCACCTCTAGATGGCTGGAAATGGCACTCCTAGACTAACAATTTTAGTCTAATTTTCTTTTTTCTTATTTTTTTTTTTTAATTTTGCAAATTTAGAGGGGGCTGGGCCGGCTTGGCTCCCCCCCCCCTCTTGGATCCGCCTATAAAGAACTAGTGCTGTTCAACTATGCATGCGAAAAGGAATGATCAGCTGCTTTAATCAGATTTAAATTCCCAAACGGTGTAATAATGACCCAGTTGGTCACTTATCCTTCAAAATTTATATATACTTACCTAATGCCAATAAAATGTTTGAAACGCTCTTTAATAAATCGGTTAAAAAAAGGCGGCCATTTTGAATTTCAAAATAGAGGCCCAAGGAGTGAATGAAAAAACTGGCACCCACTTTTTTCTTGATCAGTAGTGTTTTTAGAGTTGTTTTAACATAATTGCCAAGAATCTACCCAAAAGTTTGCTTTTTCTACATAAGACAACAGACTATAAGTCATCAGGTATAAGTCATCATTTCAGGTTGATTCCAATCGATTTTTAAGGAGTAAAGCAAAAATACACTTATACAATGGAATCAAACCAAAGACACGTTTACTGGCATGTCATTTTAATCAATGTCCATGGCAATGCTTTTGGACTACTGTGCTAAGCATCTTGTTTTTCCAGCGTCTGATGTGCTTGTTGTTAAACCATATAGACCTATTAAATATAGGGATAAACGATGTATAATTTTTTTGACATTAAAACATCTGCTGTATCTATATACATCTTTACCAAAAGAAAACATGGAACCTTACCGGTTGACACTGGTGTATCAGATGTTGTCACCTCTTGTGGATGTAGCTCCCCAACATCATCAGTGTTTTCCATAGTCAAGTGCCCATTTTTTTCACTTCCTTTGTTCATGTAGCTAACATTCGACTCGTTCTTTGGACAGAGTTCAATGTCTTCTCTGTAATCTGCATTCGTTTGAGCATTTTGAAAGCTATTCCTTACGTGGAACCCAATGGATCGCAGATGATCCATAATCTGGTCACTAGGTGATGACGTCAGATGCACCGACACGTATTCCACCAACTGAGGCAGAGCTGTAAAGAGAAGAAATACAATATCAGCTCTTATTAATATCAATGTGTGTTTGAAGTGATTTTCTTTGCTCATTTTAATGAGTCGTTTTGCCGTTTTAGTTGCGTTAAATGTAGGAGAATAACCAATAACTTGCAGCGTCATTGTGCTGAATTGCGTATGGGCAATTACCTAGCAGCCGTAAAGAGGCGCCTCTTGGTAGATACATGTTCACATCAATCCACAACGACAGGGGCTGAAATGAACCATAACATCGGGGTAACCCCCTACTCTTCCGAAAGATGCAATGGGTTCTTTAAAGTGCACACGAGCCAGATGTATACACTGGACCTCCATTTTAAGTCCTTATCCGAGAAGACTTGGTTCTACCAACCGAACCATGGGCGAGGTGCGGCTGGAACCGGCAGCGCCGATGTTAAGGCTGTAGCTAGCAGCGCCCCTGCCTATACCGCTCGGCCACTCGACTCGCCACAACTTAGCGTTAACTTGGTGGTTGTTGAGATGCTTGCCTTGGAATCCCATGACCCAAGGTTCAATTCCTGTCAGGTTATTATATTTTCTCGCGATCAAAACAACTCCACTCCAATTTCTAAGCCTCTAATTGAGATACTGTAATTTGAAAAGTGTCAGGGTTTTTTTTCTCAGACCTATTGAGATTTAGTTTGAGTAACTCGTAAAATGAACTGTCACCTACAAGTATGCCATTGCCATTGTGTGTGGGTGTGTGTAACAATATGCATGTGTGTAGAAATAAATAAAAAATATAATACATTTATAATGACCCCACGCACTTTAAACCCTACCCAGTAAATCCGTAAAATGTTCTCTTGGACTGACAACTTACTTCATTCGAGAAATTATTGCTGTGCAGGGGCTGTTTTGTTTGTAGTGTAGGCTGGTATGTCGTGAATATGATGTGTCGTGTATATAAATATCACAAAAAAAAACTTTTACTTGATTTCATATCCTGATAATAAAAGGGATGATAAAAAAAATGTTTTTTCTGAAGACATTTAAAGGACCAAACTCAAGATGGCCATCATCATTCAAATAACCGCTATTTCGAAGCTACATAACACGAATTATGAATGCAGATCAAGCCCTTTTTGGTGACAATACCAATTTTAAAATGTTCAGCACATCCATAAAACATTTTTGATTAGGTAAATGCAAAAACTGGCAGCCATCTTAAATTTTAAAATGGCCACCATTAAAAAAAAAAAACCTACTTCTTTATTCGGACATATTGAAATGTGTCCATAAATACAAATAAATAAATACAGATTGAAACTATATTTCAGTATGTCAGGGCCACCACTTATAATCACTTGAACTACACCCGATTACTTCCACTGTATGTTTTAGCAATGCATGAAACAAAACAAAAGTTACCAGATGTCTGGGAAGAGCTCATAAGAGGCAACTCTGTGTGACAAAGGGACTTACTGGATTCAATTCAATAACATTTATTTCCATTTCCGTAACAAAATAATACAAGGAACATGGTGGCTTTACCTAAAAAGCAACATGCTTGTAGCAGGGATGCCATAAACAATACAAACTATCGACAACATTTAAGAAAATTTAAATCTAAATAATATATACAAAAAGTACCATTCCATAATAATAATAATAATATTATTAATAATAATAATAATAATAATAATAATAATAATAATAATAATAATAATAATAATAATAATAATAATAATAATAATATGCATTAATAGTTAACAAAACTTGCATTTGAATTAGGATTACTTATTTATAATAATATGAGATTTAAGATTATTTTTGAAGCAATTTATGTCTGTAATATTCTTTATGACAGGAGGCAAGTTATTCCAGAGTTTAGCACCAGAATGTCTAATGTTTTGCTGAAACAGTGAGGTCCTACATTTTGGAGAGGTGATTGACATTAAATTCAAACATATCGTACAAGCTTTTAGGGCAATGTTTACTAATGCATTTATGAATATATTGCTGATAAGTATAAATATTTGTTAGCGTCATTAGATTTAATTTCTGAAAGAGCGGACCAGTGTGAGCTGTAAAAGAAGATTTTGAGATAATTAATATGTATTACCTTTTTTGTAGCAGAGTTTTTTTTTGTAGAGTGGCTGAAAAGCATTACCCCAGACTACATTACAATACGAAAAATATGGAAGAACAAGTGAATTATATAGGGTAAGAAGTACATTAACAGGAACCAAATGCTTGATCCTATTTATAAATCCTATAGTCTTGGATATTTTTGTCGCAATTTCACCAATGTGATATTTCCATGTTTTTTAATTTAACTTTTTCTTCTCGTTGAACTTGATCATTGTTTAGAAAGATTTTAAATTATTTAGTTCAGTTACTTTTTTCCTTTTGCTAAATATACGGTAATATAGCTGCATTTGTTTTAATTCAGTGATAATCGGTTGACCTTGAACCATCGCATACATTACGTAGCTGTTCGTTGACAGTATGACATAATACGGAGAGATCATTATTGCAATGGAAAATGTGTGTATCATCAGCATATAAAATAAAATTAAATCGTTTTGAAGATTTAAATGTCAATGAAGAATTAAATGTCAATGAAAAACAAAATGAATAACAGTGGTCCTAAAAGAGAACCCTGTGTCACACCACATGTTATTCTTCTTTGTCCAAACAGTGCAGCTTCGTATTTAGTACACTGAGATCGGTTATGAAGATAGCTTTTGAACAAGTTCTCTGTGATACCACGGATACCATAATGTCTTAATTGGGATAGCAATATTTCATGATTAAACGTATCAAAAGCTTTTGATAGGTCTAAAAAAATACCAATTGCGTAAGAATTTTGCTCGAAAGCACTTATAATTCTGTGAGTAAGATCTACCAGAGCCATTGGAGAGGAGAACTTACTACGAAAGCCATACTGACTGTTATGATATTATAATATAATATATAATAAAAAATAAAATATAAATTAAAAACCAAAAATAAATATTATCTAGAAATGAAACCGTTCTTCCATAAACGATAAGTTCCAATATTTTGGAAAAGCATGATAGAACTGATATTGGCCTATAATTGGCCACTCATATCATTTGTCTCCAGCTTTATACACTGTCGTTACCTTAGCTAGTTTTAATTTGTTTGGAAAAATACCCTCAGACAGTGATATGACATAAAGGTTTACTAACTATTGTTGCTACAGCTTTATAAACATTTGGACTCAACCCATCTAACCCTGCAGATTTGTTGCTTTTAAACGTCTTTGTAATGTCACATATTTCAGTTTCCGTTGTGGGTTGAAAATACATTGAGAGTGTCTGTTTGGTTCTCTTAAGTAACAACTGTAATGTGTACGACTGGAGGGAATTATACTATCAAGCGACGGACCAATTTGAGTAAAGAATTCATTTGCAATATCACCGTTTAACAAAGAATTTATTACTTTCCATGTTTACTAGCTTTAGTATTTGAAAATTTCTGATTATAGTAAGCTACCTTAGCAGCTTTTATTAGTGTATTTAATATATTTCGAAATGTTTTATATTTAGATTTATTTCTGCTCAATGGTTTTCTAAAATCTTCTTATACAGTTTATGCTTATACTTAATAGACTGCAGTATTTCATTTGTCATCCATAGATTACATTTTCTCTACTTGCTTTTAATAGTAAGTACACCTAATGGAAAGTTCTTCTGGTATAGTGTAGTGAATTTGGATTGGAAGAGATTATAAGCATTATCAGGATTAATAAAGGAGATTACATCGTCCCAGTCAACAAATGCTAAATCATGTTTGAAGTTTTCAATGGTTTGTGGATTAATCTGACGATGTGAATGCAAAGAATCATCTATTTGATGAAGTAACTTGAAATATTGGCAAATCATCGCTAATATCAGAATGAGTATGCCACTTGTAACAGGTAGATCATAAGCATTTGTCAATGGTGCTGATTTGTTGGTTATACGAGTTGGTTTATTTAATATAGGTAAATTAAAATTGGTGAATAAAGAATATAAAAAGTTTGTGTTGAGAAGTTATTGTTGCTTCGAAGAAGGTCAATGTTAAAATCCCTCATGATATAATTAAATCTATTTTCTTTGCTTAGATTCGCAAGTAGGGCCTAATATATCAAAATCATCCACAAAATGAAATGTTTAGTGCTGACATCTGGTGGTATGTAAACAACCCCGTCTAAGGTATTCTTTCCATGATTTTGAATAATTTAAATAAATATTGAGTAACAAGAGGCATTTGTCAAGGAGAGATGCTTCTTTGAGTAAAAGAACATGCATTGTTTTTATACAATGTGACGCCACCTCCTAACCTGTCTTGTCTAATTTTACATAAAAGTGTATAATTAGGTATGTTTAGTCATGTAGAAGCTTGATTGAATATTAACATGTCGAAAATGTAAATTCCTCACAGAGTAAATATCAGGGGTTGCGTCAGCGGGGTGGGGGGGGGGGCAGAGCTNNGGGAAGAAAAAGCACAATTCGTCGGGGAGAAAAACAAATTATATGTATGTTCTACATATTAGTAGACTCTAAAATCGATTAAATAAGCCTTTGAAACCCCTAAATTGTTAAAAGTTATTCGAAATTCAACCACGCCCACATTGCTTTTGTCGGGAAAATCTGATCCCTCATCGGCTGCATCGCACCCCCCCCCCCGTTGGGCAAATCCTGGTGCTACCTGGCGTAAATAGTCAGATAAATTTGTGCAGACGGTGTAGAAGTTTTGGTCAGGATCAAGATCTGAACACCCGGCAAAATTGTTTATAGACTCAAATAGATTATATTGAGGTGTACTTTGTCTATTTAATTTAATATTATTGTTATTGTTATTAGTTTGTAGTTCAGTAATTTCTTCTTCAAAATCCAAAATACTAAGGTGATTAAAAGGTAAAATATGATATAAATATGACTTGCCCCCATCGGGACAGGTTATGTGCGCACGTTTACTACAGCCTTATTAGTCATGTTTATTTCCCATATCTTTAAGATGACCTGTAACATCTTCCTAGAATTTCCCTATTTGTTCAATTTGAATAATGCTCTCTGGGAGCGAGTTCCAGTCAATAATGGTGCGTGGAAATGTGTAACACTTCTTGTTGGTAGGTAGCATTACATATGCGTTGGATTGGTGATGGCGTGATTGGCGTAGGGCAGGCTGAAGGAGGTTTCCATTGGCAAGGATAATTGATCAAGTCGGGCTTGCTAAAGAATGGA